TCTGATTGAACTCGTCTGTAAATTTTCGTTTAACAGGAAAAACATGCTTAATATAACTTGCCGAACCATTAACTACAAAGACTCATGTACTGAAAGTTGAACCACTCATAATGTAAGTAGCTATCAGTTTATATAGTACCCGCTTGCCGAAACCGAAACAGAGTTCCAACCATCGACTTATTGGCTGAAAGCTAGTCAAATGTATTAACCAATGTCATAACCGTCTTTTGCTAACACATTCTGACAGATGAAATAAATGTTCTATTTCGTATGAACCAATGTAATTTTACCGTTTCAAGATGCCATAAATATAATTTCTCAAGAATAGTAACTATTAACAGCTCATGACTTGTGATATTACGAACTTAATAAAAGGCTTTATTTCAACAGAGACGATAATGTGAACATTTTAATAAATAATAATTCAACCAATCATAGTTAAAAAGAGAAGTACATCCGACTGTTGTTCAGAAGAACGATCAAACATTTCTAGCCAAACCATCCAGCTCAGAGACCACAGCACGTCTAAAGTATGCATTTCATGCTAATTACCACTCTGTTCTTTTAATTTCCTACATAGTTGTTTAAAAGTTGTGTTATCGTCCAATTATATGTATTTACACGGTATACATATATTGAAATATTTGAGCATCTTTTCAAACTACGTACTATATTATGGTCTACTTGTCCTGAATATTCAGTTAGTATACTTATATCATTATTGCTTTGTGAGAACCTGATCGGCTACTTTCTAATTCACAGATAATGCTGGCCTTAGTTAACTAATCTTTCGCTCTGAATAGGTTGACAAATTCAAACATCATTCTTTAAATTTAATGTTTTGTTGCACATTTTCTATGCAAGATCTTTGTGAATCGCAGTAGCTTTGAATTTTCGATCAGTTGTTTTCCAATTATTACTATTATTGATACTTCCTTACAATTCTGGATAGGATTTCACAGGACAGTCCATTAAGCAATAAAATTGCTAGTGTCTTAGTAATTTGAGATTTTTACTCAAACAGGTTAAACTCTTTTCTTAATTGTTTAACTACTTCACCAACTCTAGCTTAACTGAAATGATTTTTGAAGTACAATTATCTATTCACCTTACTTTGATTGATTATTCATACAATGAGTTTCAGTATTCGTTTAATTAGGCTGGAGACCCAGTGAGATAATGAAATATTTCTTTTCCATTATTTTGATGTTGTTTTGCATATTTCTAATTCAGATTGAATCGCACATCATATAAGCGATAACTAGATGACATGTACAGGATAGGATACGAACTATTTAAGCTATGTAAAGAATTACTCCATAACATCCGTGCTCTTGCCTACCGAAAGATTAACTTAAGACCTTGGTTTAGATCACCGAGTAAGCTTACCGTACTCGTTAGACTTTAATTTTATAAAATCAGTATCGAAACAAATACCACATAGTAAACAGCGAGCCAAAGTAATAAAGAGAGAAACGAATGAGTAAAGTAAATTGTGACACCACATCAAAGAAACTTATAATTACACTCATTCGAAATTAGAATATTATGGTGAAAAGTAATGTATAGTTGCCAAAACACATACAATACTGAGATATAAATTTATAAATGAGTTGTTAGGATTTTTCTACGATAATTTTTTGATATGTCTCAACGTATCTGCAAAAAGTACACACGCACATATACACAGGTGATCAGTAAAGATTTCTATTCTAGAAAGTACCAACCTGTATTACCACGATTGGCGTTAAATAAGGAGACAATAATTTATTGTCATAAACATATTATTTTTACTACAAACACTAGATTTAGGAAACTAAGTGGCGAGTCATGAAGTTTGATAAACAAGCAGACCCATGATTAGTAAGCTGAATTGTTATTTTCAGTATAAGTAGTAGGGTTGTTAACGGTAATACAGATGAGAAACAACTTCCAATTAATTAATTTCTTGGTCCACTAAATCCGGGTTAGGTTAGATGAAAGATCCGTTCAATTGAAAGAATTTTAGTCGTCTGCTACAGATTAAGTTGTCGGACGTACTTATTGTCAAGAGTGACAATAAATCGTAGAATAGTAGACCTATTCAAGAAGAAAGGTACTTAAATAATATCTAGTGTCTTTCAGTTGACCAAAGATATGACAATGACTTTCTATATCAGCTGTGATGTTTCAACTACATATTTCGGCAAGCTTCAATTTTAGTCATACAAATAAACTTTCTGTGACTTGATGGCATCCAATATCAACCCAGTGGTGAAGACAAACAACACATATCACGATGTGTATTCGTTGGAGAAGACCACTACTTCTTTTGGAACACACGTACCGACTTCAACCACGGTTTAGTGGAATTATGTGTATACACCTGTGCTTGACGGAGTGCGAAGAAGTAACAAGAACCATAAAATGAGTTCAAGTCGGTCATATGAACGTCAAAGATATGTGAAAGAAAGAACTAGCTAGGTACATAGTGGAGCATGTATTACTCATGATTTTCTTACTTTTCTGTAAAAATAAAAGTAATATTTGTTGGCAACCTTCAGAAAAACGTTAGCAAGTGTCAGTAGATTCTAACAGTATCCTTCGAAAAAAAGATTTTCCTAAAGCTATCATGTACCTATCAGTCAAACAATTATCCTGTTTTAGATTTGAAAACAACAGATGAATTACTGAGAACCACGTGCAAAAGAATTCCATGAAATAAATGCAGCATTTCAATTCATCGTTTGAGTCTCAAGTCTGACGATCCCCACACACATATACACATTCTAACTTCAATCAATTCTCGATATCGTAAGGTCATATTATTTGATGACGAATAATGATAATTGTTAATGGTAAATGAATACGAATCGTATATACAATATCTTATTCAAACTTCCAACACTAAACAGTAAAAGATTTCACAAATTATTCCACTAACCTGGTATGTGAAATCTAATGAAAATACTTCCCCATTTGATTGATGGCTATGTACACCTAAAGGATAAACAGCTAATTGTTTTTTCGCATTAATCACATGATCACATGTAAACGTGACGATTTGATTGGATAATTTACCAGATGGTATAAATATTTGTTCAATGGCTTCGTTGAATGGTTGCATTGTACCACCGACTAAAAGGACACTTCTAGCTTCTTGTACTAGATCTAATTAAAAATTTTGATACATTGATGATAAAAATAATATTTATTGAATTTAAAAAGAAAACAATGAATATTACCCTGTAATAGACGAAGACTGTCGCTTAATATTAATAGTGGGTGTACTGCAAATCAAAGTTCAGTTTTGTAGATGTGAGGTCATTTTTAAGAGAAAAATATTTTAATTTTAATTCAACTAAACTTATTACAAGTAAAGAATCGTTTCTCAGAAGTAAATTACATTTAGTCACAAATCTGTCTAGTATTCAGTTATGCATTAGTTATAATTCAATAATATTCATTTTTATGTTACATCGTATGATTTAATTAAAATACAACAGCCAAACCACCACCAACACCAATTCGCTTCATAAATTCTAGTCTGTGAGCAGTGATATGTAAACAATTGCGTTATGATGGAAGACTTGTGTTGATTGCTCAAATTGAAAACAGCTTACATTACAAACTGACTATTTTTAAACAACCACTGGAAAAGTCGGGGAAATGAATAGTGATTTTGACCTAGTTTCAAAACGCTGAAACAATGTGCACACAACTCATAGAAGAATCAAGGACTTTCATTCTTTTTGTGAATTTCTCACTTTTAGACCAATGATTCAGTATCTAATGGTTAACATTTCTAAAGTTTTCTATATATCAATGCTTCTCTAAAATCTCATCGTTTCTCCAGTCAAACTCATTCATATGGTCGAAAAACTCTAAGAACGTCACGAAATTTTTAGAAGCATGGGACTTAGATAAGTTGGCAATCAATAAGCAGGTTGACAAATATCTGATCTATCTGACAGGCTAGGTCGATATTCTCAAATAACACACCTATGGGCACGTGTTAGTTAAAGGATAAATGGTAGATGAGATGTTGACAGACGAGTCTTATTGGTTGAGATTTGATTCAGATATCCGAGGGATATATATATATATATATATATATATATATGATTGCAGGATTACTAGGGGCTAGCAAAAATTTTAATTGCCACTTGTCACAAACTGGTATCAATTAAGAAATTGTTGAAAACTATAGATCACTGAACAGGTGTTTTATCCTAGTATGACTCTCCTAAGCAGCAAACACACACGATCAGTGATCGAATCAAAGACCTTTAAACCACTTTTCAAACCTCAAATAATTTGTTTTACATAGATGGTGACTGTTCTTTTAAAATAAACTGAATGAAACTACTACACCATTGTGTTATCAATTACAAATTTGAAAAATGAATATGATTTGTAATAGTTGAGATGCATAAACCGAATCCCGATTGATAAATGGTACCCAGTAATATGGTATAGCCGAGTGACGACTGTTCACGAGACTATATTATTGGTGCAAGCTTCCAATCAACTGATATTAGAAAACAAGAGAGCTGACCAGAAGTGTAGAATTTTTATCTAATAAAATAACTAACATATAAAATACCAAACAAAAATAAACATGATTAGAAATCGTTTTAAATATAGGCAGTTCAAAGATAAAGACTATGTAGACCACTCAAGTTTCAATGGGATTAGGACCTGACCGCTAGTCTGAATTTTTACCATATCGTATCGACTCCCCCCATGAAATGATGTAAGATTATTCTCTGATAACTTCGAGTTACACAATATAATCTCCAGTTTTCTTGAGAACCATGTTTCTGTTAGGACTACTGATTCCAAAAACAGTACCAAAATTTAAATTTAAGATTATCCTTTATCATTTTCTGATAGTTAATTGAGTAGAAATTTTTAATTTTACTCTCTCTATTCTCTATAGGATGAAAGTTTGTCACATGATTAAAATATAAAATGATGAGAGTACTTGAATCGCTATGTGCTGTAACAGATTAACAATGATTCAATCTATTTCTTACGGACGGTGATCAACCAGATGTATTGTAAAGTTAGCTGAACATTAAATACCACAACTGAAGATTCAAAATAGCGCTTATTGAAAAATCCATATCTTGGCTGATTCTAGTGAAATTTTTGAGAACTAATGCAACCCCCAACATACTGATTACATTTAAGACAAACAAAGATTCATGTTATTACCACAGAATAAAATTCAATAAAGTTTCTAACCTTTTAAATACCTTCCAGGATTTAAAAATACCACACGTAAACACAAATCTTGAGTATCATCTGTAAGATTACTTGATGAAGACAACATATCAGATGAGGAGATTGATAGATTTAATTTTGTTGAGTTCTTAACAGGTTCAATAATTATACGTGCATCTTCTTCACAAAATTCCAAAGCTTTAAGAAAGCTATGAAATTTAAATAAACTGGAGCCAATTCCTTCAGACTTTTCAATATCTATTTTGGATTTTTTATTCGAAATACAAACCTGAAATTGGATCGAAAACTTGAAAGTGAAATTCAAGAAATACCTTTAAAAACATCTTGTATCTTTCTGATAGCCTCAATACATGTTTAAAAATTCTGTTTATCCACATATGCTTACATCCTAGATGAATCTCATGTTTCATTATTTCAGATATTACCGGTGATCCAATCTTCGGTAGCTAGAGTTAATCAGTAGGGTACTCTGAACCTACGTTTCACACAAGTCGGCATATATCAAGAGAATTGAAGCCTTCTCAAAATATCCCACGAAATATACAGGCACTCAGACCAGCGGTCATAACGGGACTTGAGTGATGGAATCCGGTTAGTTTTAACGCATTAGGCAAACATGATATTGCTTACTAATCAATAACTCACCAATTTTACTGATACTATTTATCAAATAACAACATAAATCATTTACTGAGGTACAGATTCATGTGCTTGGCTCCGATTTAAACTCGAAATGAAGCATCCAGATAGCATTTGTCCGTCCAAACTGAAGAAGGTTGCTAATTCCAACACTAACTATGCCTATAGGAAGGAGGTTTTGATTAAAACTCATAGCAGAAACTTTGAGTGGAGACATTCCAATAAACGCTTTCCTAATGTTATAGTTAGTTAACAAAAATGAACTATTCAGGTGAAAAATATTGAGTTAATTTGTGAAGATCTAGTACAGTTTGCACAAGTGAATTTTCGCTTGTAAACATAGAAACCTATTACACTATGAGAAAAACTGTAACTTTAACTACTCGAATTAAGCAAACATGTTTTAACTTACCTGACTTGTATCTCCACATTGATTATTCTCATCAGAATATTTTCTTTTCATAGTGTTTAATAAATTTCTCATTTGTGAACAAGCTGTTTGGTTAATTGCAACATTTTCTAAATGTTTCGGAGTTTGTTGTATATTATTAGACCATTTAGAGAAACCAATTAATTTCATGATAAAGTGTTGATATTCTAAACAATCGATAAATTCACTTAAATTTATGTTGTCCAAGTTCGATTCCGAAAATAATTTATTCACTGTTTTAATGATAACATTAGCCGATATGGAAGATAATGATAATTGAATATTTTTAAGCGTAGTATTTAAATAAAGTTTTAATTGTTGTATAAAATGTTTCATTTGACGTAGTCTTAATGTAAGAAATGAAGATAAACGTGAACGATAATATTGTAAATAACCAGAAAATAACTCTTCTAATTTGTATAAATCATTCACCAACGACAAACTGACTGACATTGATGACGCTGTTGCTTCTAACAAATTATGCGCTTCATCAATTATAACAATTGAATTTTTTAGTTTTAAACCAGATGTCAAACGATTTGATGGTTGTAACAATGATGAATATGGTACTAAAACTAATTGAGCTAATGGTAATCCCTTACGATTAGCGTAGTACGGACACCCAATATGAGACGACAATTGTGTATCGTTTACTGTCATCTCGTCTTTTTGGCATTTTTCCAAAGAATTACTCAAAACATTGATGGATTTAGATGACTTACTTGACTTTCTATCTCTAATACTACAGGTTATATTTAAAGCTGAATTACCAATTAATAGATGCTTGGATAAATTATTAACAGCTGCTGAGTTACGCATTGGACATCTGAAACCTTTCGATTGACCTTGCTCACGATTACGCGGTCGATTCAATTCAAGACAAGCAATATTAATTAAATCTGGGTGTTTTAACTGATAAATGGATTCATTAGTGCATAACAAATTTCTTGATGATAATTGAATTATTGTGACTTTATTAAATAATGTTTGACATTTTGCAAATTCTTTGGCTATTTGTCCGAGTTGTGAATGAGTACGACTACAATAAATTACATGTAATAATCCATTTTCAGATTTTTGTTGTTCTTGACTTTCAAACTGTTGTTCCAGTTCAATTTCATCTAATTCGATAATTTTATTTTTATCGAATAAGTTTTCATCAGGTTTACATAAAAATAATTCATCATCGCAGTCATACTGATCATTGGTATTGTCTATTATATTTTTCAATTGCTCAATATCAATACTTTCAATATTCGCTTCAGTTATGGTCATTTCATCAACATTTAAAAAGTCAGTTTGATGTTTAAACAGTAATGATGAGGAAGATGATTTCATTTTCTCAATTAATTGTAAATTAGATTGATAGATCAAAAGATCTTCAATTTGTGGTTCAATTTGTTTTTTTAATAAACGGTTTTTATCATATTCTACTATCCAATCGTATTCCTTAGAATTATTCTCTTTATTTTCATGATTCGTTAATTTTAACTGAGATTGAAGACTATTTAATAATAAAACCTGTTTTTCATTATAATCTAAAAGCCAACGTAATGTTGCTGTTAATAGACTCAATGATTTGCCAGTACCAGTTGGACTTTCAAATATACCACAACAGTTAGATTCTAATGTCTTATAGACTGTTTGCATCAATTCAAGTTGTTGTGAATATGGTTTCGGATATGGGAAATCAAGAAATTGATCTGGTATGGTTATTAATGAATGTGAGTTATCATTTAAACCATTAATTTCATCTTTAGTTGATGTCGTAGTTTGCTTGTTTTTGTCAGTTAACGTTGGTGTAAAGTTCGTGATATTTAATTCCAAAAGAATTTGATCTCCAATTGAATCATTATAAAAATCATCATCCATCATAAGCATATACCTATGAAGATAGAAGAAACAAACAATAGAACTTACATTATGGAGTTAGAGCGTCATTTTGTTAGTGTTTGTATAGTTCAACGTCCCAAACCACTGATTTTCAGCTGCAAACTAGGTGACATTACTCATAATGGTTCGGAACATTCACTCTTTGATCGCTTATCAAACTTGAATACTGGTATTCCTTCAAAAATCCCTTTACTTTGTCTTTCCGAGCCCTATTCCCAAACGTTACTCTTTCTAATTTTCATTGTTACCAGGCTATTCTGATCTGTTACGCTACATGTTTTCTTAATTTTATTCCGTCGTGTTCATATGGTACAGCAACTTGAGCAACGTAGGTTTGAACCAGGCTCTAAGTTGATGATGACTATATGACAAGGCACTGCTTTGCGCAATCTCTCGGATTCCGACAGGGGAGTCGTGATGGACTAATGGATTCAAGTCCCATACGGCTTCCTTACGTGCCACGGCGCCATTTCATGAACCGATCATGATTCTCCGCTTTTCCCACCAAGTCTCAGCGTAGGCAAATAATTCATGAAATTGAGGATGTCATAAATTATCTTAATTCCCAGTTGTACCAGTATATGCGTAAATTAAATAAGATTTCAAAACATCAACAGGATTCAAGCGACCCAGTATACGCAGTGCTACAAAAAGAGATTGCCATCAGATATGAACAGTTGGTAAAACAATCGCACTTAATCTAAGCAGTCATCAACACGAAGGTTAGAACTGAAGATTTATGAGAAATTTATCAGTAAATGTTATAACATAATAATTACTTGATCCTAATACAGTTCTGTCTATCAAATTGTATAGTGAACACTAATCTCGAGGTGGTGGAACAGATTTTTATCTCAGAAGGATTAGTTTGTTGTAGTTGCGTAATCAGAAAACGATTCAATGGAATCAAGTCAAAGAAGTTTCTATTTATTTAAACAAATAAATATTAGCACAGAGACACCAAAATTTGTGTACCACACAATAAGAAAGGAAGGTGAATGTAAAAAAGAAGAACAAAGCCGAAAAGAAATTAGTGCATGATAATATAATAATAATGATAACAATAGTAAAGGGAGAAGTTCAGTTAGAAAAATACAACCAGAAAGCATCCTTCCGATAAGAGAAACCGCTCTTACTTAAATGAAGTAAATAAGAGGAAATTACAGCAGGACCGTCACTGGCTTCAGTTCTCAGCCATGTTTAAAAACGTTTCGAATCACTGTGCTGCATTATACCTAGGAACACGGAACAGGAAGTTATGAAGGACCGGCAGATGAGTCCTGTGCTGTTTTCTTTCATATCACGGTATTATGCTATACACTGACCACCTCTGCTTTCCCGAACAAGTCTCAGAGCAAAAAATAATGCACGATGTGGAATTTGCTGGGACGAAGTTCGTAAGACGTGTCCAAGCCACTGAAGTTGGTATTTCAAGATGATAACGGCAACTGAATTATAGTCACTGTACTCAAATACACGTTATAAAACCTCCGCGATACTAACATAGTGTCACCACTGAATGTTAGCAATTCTTCGAAGATGACGACGATCGGACACATAGAAGAGAACATCATCAAGAACACAGGTTCAAATATTTCGACTTTGAGTTTCCAGAGGAAATTGGTACATTTGTAGTAGTTGGCGATCATTAATTAAGCTTATTATCAACTTGAAGAAACTGATGATCCCCTAAGAGTTTTGATTAGTGTAAATATCAAATTTTCACAAGTCAGTAGCGTACTGAAACGTTTAGTCCAAATTTGACTCCGATATTGTATAAATGGTTTGAATAGCACCAGGAGCACCATGTTCCAGAAAAATAATGATATGTCTGGCTAAAGAGTTCTAATCAACACGAAACCTAAGAACAAAATTTGCGTTTAATTGTCTTAAACCACTTAAAAATTTATTGACAAACTGAATACTCCGATTTTTTTAGGAGGGAAACTGTCCTGTAGTCAATCGAAGTAGCATACACACTGAAGCTTCTACTAGCCTATAACTAATGAAGCCACTTTCAGATACACTATAAACTGCACGATTCGTAGATTGTATGAAATTCAGTCACTACACAAAATCTATAATTTCCTATTAAACGTAAAAGCTAATTTAGGAATTAACATTGTTTTTACATCGCATGAAATTTTGGAAATCATTATGTGCAGTCAAGACAAATTACAAGTTTCTCGATCTAATCAAAAGGCAAAACACCTCGACTAATGTTTCTAATATACAAATTAGGTACTGTTATCATATGAAATAAAGTAAGCAGTGCAGTTGAATTTTCCGAAGTTCAACTGTATTTTCGTTAGCATAAAAGTAAATATTGATCAAAACATGACATACAAAAAAGGAACTATATTTACAAGGAAACCAGTCGAAAGCAAAGCACAGACGGGTACATCGAAAAAACCTAAAGAAAACATTTGAAAAGCGACCGATTTATATTTATCAACAGAAAAGTAGTCATTGAAATCATATGTAGTTGCGCGATGGAGTAGTGGTTTTGTTGTTTGATAATACAATTTCTATCGTTAAAATAAAAGAGGCTAAGCAAGGGCAGCTCATGAGATCGAAAAAGTGACTTAAGATCTGGAATAGCTTAAAGTTATTCTTACTTATTTATTTGAACGCATAAATGCTGGTAAAAACGGGGACCGAATACATATGCGCCACATAAGTCACTTGATTTGGGTGCAGACTGTGATACTGCCTGGATCCCCAGACCGTAGCAGTCAAAGACAAGACCACAAACAAGAATAAAAGGTATTTTCTTATTAAATTAATAACAGGATTATATACAACTTAACAGAAAAATAACAATTAAAAATTATAAACCTTTTCAATATCAATTTTGTAGGTAGCTCATTATCAAGTGAATCAAGTTCAAACTACTCGGTTCAATTCTCACTCGTTATATCAAGCTGAAGAATGGAGAAATTTATTTTTAAAATCTAAATATTCATACCAAACATAAAAACCTTATGAACATAAGTGGTCATAATTAATCAAAGTCTCAAGAAGAGAGTATAATAACAATGACCAATGAATGCACAATTAAGGTGGATGAAAAAAATAGTTGTTAGCCTGATATAATACTGATGCTTCATTTCACACTGATGAGGTCAAATATTATTATGCAGTATCTGCATGTAATCATATTTTACTTCTGTTAATGTGCAATTTTTTACTGAGAATAAATCATTAAGCAGATACACAGGCATGAGATACACCTTGGTTGTGGGAGCTAATGATACTAACCAGTTACCCAAACAGAAATAGCTGGAGACGCGGGTTCGAGCCTAGGACTTGATGGCTGAAAGTTGAGACTTATATACTAATTCACCACGTGTCAGAACTGGTGATTTGAAAGAAAAACATTGTATGACTAATAATAATACTGAATAAAATAAGTATATGAACAACTTACACACTATTCAGTAATGAGATATGTCAATAAAATATGCAAAGATTTACTGATAGCATTAAACACTAAGAACTTGCTCAGTCTGTTTAGATATTTCGTCATGAGCTGTTTAGATTTAAGCACCACTGATTCAGAATCTAACGAAATATCACTAGGTTCTGTGATGAATATGAGGAAACGTTGAACAATCAATGACTAGTAGCTAGTTTCAAACATGACACCGGCCACTACCCAGGGGGCCAATCACAGGATGAATATCCGAGTCATATATGAGACCGATCACAGCAGGAAAACGTAGTGGTAACGTTTGACTGTGAGACCGGTTGACCCAAATTCGAAATCCACAAGGGAGCAACTGTAGGTACCCTACCTACTGATGGTCATTCAGTCAGTCAGTAACAACGTGGAACTTCGTACTTACGTACATCAGTTCGAGTTGCCATGCCACATTAGCACAGAGATGCAGTGATCGATTACAATCCCGTAGTGCTAGATGTAGTAAAATTATAAGCTGTAATCAGAAAAATTAGGGGTTGAAGATGTTATTCAAGGAGTATAATACAGTGAAATAAATTTGGAAGGTGAAAAAAGAAAAGGACATGAAGAATTAAGATTAAAATTTTGGGAGAACACAAAGAGTGAATGCAACTGCGCCATTGCAAACGATTTTGAGCCATTTCATTCAGGGTCTCTAACCATCAGTTGCAATCATCTCGCGGTCCCCAACCAGGTAGTCTACACCTACCGACATGACTCAGTCTACTTGTCAGTGACTTCATGAACTTGTGCCATGTTTTGATCCGATCGCTTCTAGCTTTCTTCCAACCTACTCCTACACCAGAAAACATCGCACGTCGAGGCAGTCGGTGGTTGGGCATACGTAACACATGTCCCAGCCATCTCAACTGATGCAGTTTCACTACGTCATCAATTGATTTGCCACCCTTACCTAGTACATGTTTCCTAACAACTGAGTTACTTACTCGATGGTCCCAGGATATACGAGCAATATTTCCAAGACATCTATGATCAAATACTACTAACCTACGAATATCCTCTATTCTTACCGGCCATGTTTCACTGCCATAAAGTAGGATGGAACGAACTGCAGCACAGTAAACACGTCCTTTGGTTGATAGACGGATATCTCGCCTACGCCATAAATGACGCAAGTTGGCAAAAGCTAGTCGACCCTTCTGTATCTGTGCTGAGATTTCGTCACACAACAGACCACAAGGGCTAAATGAGACTCCCAAGATAAGTGAAGCGGTCGACACGCTCAACTACTTCACTCCCTATCATTAGTTCGGGTGTCAATCCAACCCAATCCTCAAGCAACATTTTGCATTTCGAGGAGGAGAATCGCATCCCGAACATGCTTGCATTGTTGCTTACAGTTGTCAGAAGACTCTGCATTTTGTCAGCGTCTTCACCAAATAAAACTATGTCATCAGCATATTCTAAGTCAACAGGTGAACCTCCCGGTAGAAGTTCAACCCCTGGAAATCTAGACGAGGAAAGTGTTATCTCTAAAAGCACGTCAATAACAGTTAAACAGGAATGGAGAGAGTGGACAGCCCTGACAAACGCCACTTGAGGTAATCGATTCTGATGATAGTTCACCATAAGCTCTCACTCGTTCAGTTGTGTTCGAGCGGAGAGTCTTTATAAGGTTAATGTACTTCTTTGGTACTCCTTTCAGTGACAAACACTACCATAGAACCTCACGATCAACAGAATTGAATGCTGCCTTAAGGTTGAGAAATACTACCATTGTGGCTTGTCTGAATGTCTGTCTGTGTTCTAGAATGTGACGTAGTGTGAATATCTGAACTATACAACCACGTCCAGGTCGAAAACCAGTCTGATTTTCTCTAGTCTGCTCTTCATGAGCTTTAGTTAGGCGTCGAAGTATCATTGAAGCTAATATTTTAGACACTATATTTGTCAAACTGATTCCTCTGTGATTGTCACAAGAGGACGTTTGTCCTTTCTTATAGACTGGCACAATCAGTAACTGAGACCAGTTAGATGGGGTTACGTCCAGTTCCCGAATTCTACCTAAGACCTCAGTTAATCTCACTGCTAATACTGGACCACCATCCTCAAAAATCTCAGGAGTGAACCTGTCAGGGCCTGCTGCTCTCCCTCGCTTCAGATTTCCTATGGCTTTTTCAACTTCGTAAAGAGTTGGAGGACCTAAATTAACTTGCCATTCAGGTTGACTGGAGATCGTGGGAAACCGAAGTGTGGCTGAAGGACAGTTGAACTGATGTCTAAAGTGTTCTGCCCATCGATCCAATCTCCTGGATTGAGAATGTACAATATGTCCATGTTTCTCTGAGAGTGTTTAGCTAATAGTCAGGTTCCTAATACCGGTTTCCTTAACAAGTCTGAACAGTTGTCTGCTGTTACCTATTGCCGCTGCCTTTTCCATCTCTCTTGCTTTCGTTAGTCACCATTGATGGGTGCAAACGAGTACGAAATCTAAGACTAGGGTCACCTACTGACAACTTCAGACTACCAAATATTAAATGAAAAACATCATGGAATGTTTATTCCTTTTGGTATGAGTATAAACATTTTGCTAATTTACCGATGTAAATAAATAGTTTACAACTTGTGTCAGTCAGTAGCATATGTCATGTCAAAACGTAAACAATAAGTACATACATCCGTAATAAAAATTACAAAAACATCTTTATCTCTACAAAGAATCTTTCAACAGAGCGGTAATGTAAATATTGACTTAAAGATGAAAGTACATTTTAAAAATAGAAACTTCTGAATGGTTCTTATTAAAAATATTTTCTACATATTAGCACTTTTGTGATACAGAAGAGTATTTCTAACCGATCTTAAAAAATTTAAAAATAAGTTTTAAAGTGCATGTACTCTCAACATTACCGCCCTACATACAATAACAGTTATTAGTTAAACTTCTTAAGATAAACTTGGCTCGATAGCTGCTAGGGTGTATATACAGAATTGATTAGTGATATTGAACTAAAAATTACTGTGTAATCGGATGAGAATATACAGCTTTTTGGAAATTGAATTAAACGTACTGACGATAAATTAGGTTTCAAATTTTTTAGTGTCACACCCAAATATCACATGATTTAGGTGGAGATTACTTTGGAAATGTTTAATGATATGACAATCTAACTGGAAGGAAATTTCAATTTCGATTCAAATAATTCAATATTCGCTAAAGAAAATGTTTGATTATTAAGTGGACTATCTAAAAGGTTCATAATGAGAAAAACGCTGACAAAAAAGCATCAGTTTCAGAAACCACAATGTAACCACTGAATAACACACGGTATTTACTAAGGAAGGCAGATATGTTCAGCAAATGTATCTAGCAACTTAATGTACAGAAAACTTGATTAGCATGTTAAAAATTACTAGTTCGAAGTTGATCACTCCTCTAAGATCATTTAAACTATAAAACTCTAACTCAATGATCGTATCCATAAAATTGATGGACTGATGAGTGATCATGAATAGTTTAATTCGCTTTGTCTATACATATACAAGTATCAATTGTTGGTAAGAATATTAGGCACATGCTCAAAGATTTCCTTTTTAAAATGAAATTAACTAAACATTTTTTATATATCTAGAGCATTTGCATCTTTTGTTCTACACATGGACAGATAAAAATGAAAACGTTTTGAGATCTGCTTAAATGAATTTTAGATCAATTTTATCTGATCCCTTAACTAACGTATTACATAACATTTACCGCACACCAAAACTACAAATCGAAACAATAGTTAAAATGAAACTTGATAAATAGAAACATTTAAAAAAAACATTTACTTCGATTGGTTGATTGTTTTATCACATAAACATGGGCGGTTGGGCTGAAAGAAATATCGAACTTCGTATAGAAGTGAGTTAAATTAAATGTTGGGATGACCTTGAACTCGAACAACTTCAATCTGATGTCAAAATCAATTCACCAAACAGTGTAACACTTGTGTTTCTGACTAACTACAAATAATCAAATGAAAGTAATGTTTTGAACTCACTGAATTGACTTACTGGAATATGTGTAAGATTTTAAATAATCAGATCGAGAGTTTAGACTAGTTACTTACAAATGGGACATAAACGATTGGTAATGTTGCTTTTCAAGGATTCACTATAGTAATTACACTCAATTACTGGAATGGTTTATACATAATTATTTCTTCAGATAACAGAAAATCAACGAAAAAATGGAGTGTTATTAATTTATTCCGTGACACCGTAAGTAGATAGTTTAGTCAATTATCAACCATTTCATCAACATCAAATACAATTTGACGTGCTACGTTCAGAAATGAATATAACAACTCAGCATGAAAGTTCGACTTTTCGAAAGTTGCATAACAACTTCCTTAAAGTTCAAAATCAGAATTTAAAAAAACGATCCAAGTACTGTTTTCATATGTTTCATGTTAAGTCTATATATATATATATATATATATATATATATATATATATATATATATATAACCATTAAAGCTGAAGTTTTTATTCAAGCGAAAAGAATGAAACTCAATAAAATACAACTCATGCATTGAAGCTAAAAGACATAACTGAAGAACAATCAGCTGGTCAGTTATTGAGGTATACAATCACAATGCTAATTAACGATATATATTTGTTGCATTAAAAAATAATTTATCAAACAAATTTTTTAGGTCTCAGATGGGTTTTGTGGACATTATGAGTCAGTTGAAGCTAGACCATCTTGGAAAACCTAGCTTCAACTGAGTCATGATCTTAACCATTGAAATTACTATAATGTCCACAAAACCCATCTGATATTAATCAACATATGCTCACTAGTGACTGGCTTCACGAGGTATATCCTGAAGTTCTAGTGGGAAGGAGTGATCAGTGGATTTCAACTCGGTCTGTTGTGAGACAACGGTGGATGCGTCGCTCAATTTCGTGGATTAGCTGAAGTTAGACATTAACACCGTTAGATGCCGACTCAGTGGTTTAGTGGTTAAGTGCTCGAGTGCGAAACCAGTAGGTCCTGGGTTCGAATCTCGCAGGGGGCGAGGTCGTGGGTGTGCACTGCTGAGGAGTCCCACAATGGGACGAAACGGCCGTCCAGCGCTCCGAGGTTTTCCATGGTGGTCTAGCTACAACTGACTCATGATCTTAACCATTGAAATTTTTTAAAATTATAAGTCGAAAAAAATCCATCAGTACAATTCGTAATACGTGTATATAGCTCAAGATCAATTAGTCCAATCAAAACGCAAGACTGATACTTAATAACTCTACAGAAAAAACTAATTGTAAAATAGTTATGGTGCTTAATTTAGTAAATTGATTACACACCATTCAATGAGTGCATTCATCTTGTTTTTGAGACCTATAAGTTGAACAAAGTTTACTAATAGATACCACACGACTAGTTTATTATTAATCATAGAGAATAAAAAAACAGAAATTCTTATATAAAACTAAAGGTCTTGGATTTGACTCTTGGTTACGAGGTCGCGGATGCACACTCCCGAAGCGTCCTGTACTGGGGCGAAACGCTCATCCAGTAATTCCAGGTTTTTGATGGTTGCCTAACTTAGGTTGCCTTGTGATTTCAATGTAATCTAACAATATCTACAACCCCTTACAATAATAATATTAAGCGACAAACTAATTAAACAAACCTATAGATGCAAACGTCAGTACGAAGTGTCAAGTAATTAACCATCTACGCTTTACAATATAATGTAGACTGATGAAATTTAGTAAATTGAAAAGTCATGTAAGAATAAGTATTAATGTAAAAGCATTTAGATCACTTAACATTCTACAGATAGGTACGAACTCAATAGTTGAGTAAGGTGGAGTTGGGAAGCTAGATGTACCACCATATGAGAACCAATAAATATGACTTTATTTACGTAACACGCATCAGAATGAATAAACAAAAAAATATGAGCACTTCAACTTAACATGCGTCTATGCAACAAAAGTTAGAAGAGTCAGGCTAGTAAAATTGAAGTCGGAATAGATCGATTAGTAGTGACTTGATTTATTTAGAATACTTGTATGTTTCTTTATCGAACACTATAATTAAACAGTTACCTTGTAACTAGGCTGCAGAAAATTGACTAAGTGTGAAGTAAAGATATCAAGTTAGTCATAGGACAAAATTGTGTATTAATCGATGATCTGATATGCATATAAAGCTGTAAAAACTTCTCTCAATATCATTAGTATTCATCTAATTTAAGACTAGATGTTATAACCTATTTCACTGTTCATTATGCAAACGTATCTATTGAAATAAAACCATTAATTTATCACACTATGTACTTTCATAATTAAGCAGAACGTACATCAAACAAACTAGCATACACATGATTTTATTATACAAATTAACTTTCAATTATATGTGTGTATGTTGAACATCACATATAGGCAGATCCATATAAATCTACTAATTCACATATATCACACATCAACAACTAACGATCATACTTATACATTCATTCCTTAGTCATACCAACAAAAATCGTGTTATAAAAAAATGAAACAAACAAAAAATATTTGTTGGTTAAAAGAATTTATTAAAATTTATTTCATTTTATTACGAAAATTGATGCAACAATAATCAAATTTGAAAAAAAAAACCACACACACACACACACAGATAAATCACAAACAAGAAGACTAACGAAGACTTGGATATCAGAGGAGTGTACAAGGATATCTTGGTACGTAGAACGTGAGTTTAAACATTAAAAAAAATTTACTTGGAAGATTATACATTTCCAACTGTATTAAATAAGAGGTATATAAAGAGGGAAAAAATAAAGAGTGGAAACTGACAAAATTAAAATGTTAGTAGAAAAAAAAAATCCAGATAAGTAATGTGTGAACAAAAAATGTAAACACTCAAGTTTGTATTTTATCGAAAAAAATGAAATTTAATTTAATGTATAAATAATAGACACATAAGGGTATTTTGTTTTAATTTGGGGAACTCAAAAAAGAAATAATAAATTAATTATAATACTGTCAGTTAATACAAACTTCTCTTATAGATTAAAATTTAAATATTCCTTCTCATACTACTACGTTATTGTTGTGGAGAAAAACAACACATTAACATGTGTGCGTGTGTGTATATGACCAACTAAAATGATGGAATTATTGAGTAATAGGTTGAAATGAATCAAAATGGTAAACAACCTGTTGTAAAAAAACGATGAGTGGTTAAAAAAAAACAATTTTTTCAATTATGAAGCAACAGAATCTAAACGTGTTACACTGAGACAGGAAGAAACGAAATCAACCACTATCGATAACAATGTTCAGTTGATATAGGAATGATGTTCTTTTATCTCAAACTAACCAAGCATTATCAGCTTATAAAGAAAAATCATACATCCGTATATATTTGATAAATACAAGAATAGATATCTTGGGAAATTTAGTTATATTAAAAATTGGGGAATAAGATGGACGGAAAAAATACCGAAGAACAATAATACTGTGTTGTCCCACAAAATTATTTTTTTCTAGAGAAAAAAAACACGAAAAAAAATAGCAAACTGCCATTTTCGTCGGTATGAATGATACAAAGTAAAAACTTAACATTATGTAAATAAAAATACTAATAATTAAACAAACGAATACAAAATGGAATGATGTTATACAAACTAACAAACAATGAAGCACAAAACTTTTAAACACAATTATATCATCAATATCATCATGATGTTGGTTTACGGCCACATATACTGTAGGCAAAAGATTCAAAGTCTAATGCACCAGAATCTCCCGTTGGTCCATTTAATACAGGCATATTCTGTAAACAATATTCCGCATCACTAGCAGAAAGACGTTCTTTGATATCCTGAGCAGTGATATATCCCTAAAACAATATAAACGAGAGATTTTTAAAACAATTTAACTCTTGGAGAAAAGAATACAATTCAAACTAACAACTGATAAAGTGATCGAACATTGATCTCCATATCGTGATGGATAAATATCTACTGTATTCACTAGGTTCTTGAAAACTGATTCATAAAACAATTCATTTTAGAATGTAAGAAGCTAAAAAGCTAAAATCCTTTACTACTGACAACGCTACCAACCGAATTATTCAAACTATGGCTTGGATGATTCGAAGAATAAATAAATTACTCACATTATGTTGTGGATGGGATGCATTTTATATTTTATATCGTCGGCGAAAAAAGAGAATTTCGTATGACTGTCAACAAAAACTTGGTGCCGAAAGACAATGGTACTATACAAGTTGAATATGGGCAAAACATAGGATTGAATTTTATGTATGTAACAAAACATGTTTTCCATACAGAGTTCAAAAGTGCAAGTCTTCCAGAAGTATAGGATTGTCTTTAATAAAACAGTGATGACCAACATAGGCTAATTATGTCAGAAAATCAATTCTGAAAAGAGCAAAAACAAAAATTCTAGCAGAATAGCTTACAACCTGTGATATCTGACATTAAATATCACAGGTTGTAAGCAGCTGACGAGAACCAACGAAATAAAATGAATTCATGGTATTCTCCTAGAATTGTTGTTCTTGCTCTTTTCAAAATGATGAGGGGAACTATGTGCATGAAAGAAAATCAATTCTTCACGTCTCTATATTTAACCACCAATCTAATTTTATTAAATTGTTCAGTCTATCTAAATCACTGCTTTAGCCGAAGATCATACTACTTACTGTATACTGAAATCAAAAGGGTTCCGATGTACATTGAATTCTGTACTCTTGATAAAATTATGCAAACTGCAGACATAACTACTTGTACATCTTCTAAACAAAACCATCTTATGACGATATCCTAGATACTTCTGAATGAATTGTAAATTATGCCATTTACAGTAGAATAATGACTATAAAAACAGAACTATGTAATATACTCTGTGGAGACTAAGCTTACTTTATCACCTCCAAGTGTTTTAAATGATTGAATAAGTTGTTCTTCAGTTGCCTCGTCAACATTATCTCGTGTCATAAAGTTCAAGAATGCATCAAATGATATGTAACCTGTATGACCGGGATCAACTTCATTAACAATACGTGAGAAATCCGTTTCCGCCTGACAATTTAAAAAAAATAAACAAAAAAACAACAACGGAAGAATGAGCAGGAAACAAAAAAACGGAGGACTAGACTAGTATTTTATAGCTAAAAACAAATAGATCGTTTAATCATCTGGCTTTCTGTCGTTAAAGAATACAAACAATTTTTAAAGATTTATTGAAAACACAATTAATGATATGAAATGGGCACCAAGATAAGTATACGCCACGTGAATAAGAAAGTGATATTGTGAATCTGTAGAGAGAGAAGGGAGTATAATTAAAATTAATAAATGAGAGAAAGCAAAAGAACGACGGGACTAAAATAGACCACATCGGGATAAGTTTCTTCCTGGCTTTCGCTATCCGTATATTAGTCTCATCATTCACACCACCACTAGTACACACATGAATACAAAGATAAACAAATATTCCGACCAACCCTAGTGGTTTACGGTCAAAAGTAAATGCATACAAATGATTTTATCAGTCTTTTTAAATTACTTTGCATTTAAAAGATGCAAAGTACACGTAATACCTACGGATTAGGAAATGATTAAGTGAGATTCGTGTATCAAGTAAAGTTTTATATACCGAGTCAATTTTATTCTAAATAACATGAAAAAGTACATATGAATATTGAAGAAAAAACAATTAACCATTAGTTACAATTATCGTAGGTAACTAGGAAGAACTGATACTGTATGATGAAACAACTATTCTACATGTTGTCTTACTTTTATTCCAATTTAGACAAACAAGACTAATCTCATAAAATGTACCAGAACCTCATTAGCTTTTATATGGAATTATAACTATTTAACAGAGATATTAAAAATATCTACACTTATTGTACAAGACTGATAAGTCCGTAAAGTTAACATGTTTGTTTTTCAAAAGCCCACATTTCAAATGGCTAAGTTCAATTATTAATATAAATAATGACATTGTAATATTAAGAAAAAATACCTGATTTCGCTATCTACCAAAAATCAACTTGAATAATAGCTAAAACTGAGTAGCAATATCATTTTTACTTCGAAAAGCACACATTATTGATAAAATATGAGATCAACACAATACTGATCCTTTTCTATAATTTACTGCATCAGTATAAATAGTAAAATGCCGGCATTCACAATGTACTGAATCTTTATTGTTTCATTGCGATAGACAAATTATGTAAAACTTTTTTTCCGATATACATAGAATCGAAAAAACACAGCTAAAATAATACTTATTTAACAATTAATTATATACGATGATAATAGAATTTAGACAAATTATGTGTCAAGAAAGATTTTGAAAAGGCTCTTATGAATAGTTGAATCAATCATTCAATTAACTGACTTCAAAAATATTTGACTGTTGATATTCCATTATGTCACTGTAAACACTGAATACTTCTGTTTGTTATGATGATTTCAATAATCATCAAACAACTGTCGTTCGCCCTTTATTCCATTCAGTGCTTAATCAGCTAATTTTTTCCCTTTCTCAATCAAAACCTAATTAAACAGAGCAAGAAGAATATACACGTAGTAGGAAGATGATTAAAATTACTTATTGTCTATTTTTCGGTTATTTTCGGTTTGCTAGCAGGAAAAAATAGGTCGTAAATCTTACAGGCTAACATGATTAAAACACGTATAAAGGATGTGAGTCATAAATAATTTAGACTCGGATAAGAGTTGGGTTCTTTAAAAAGGGACCTATAGAAGTAAATATAACTAAAAAGACAACAACAGGATAGAAAATACATATAGATTGCTGATATGTATTGTATAAGAAATTGTAAATTAGGATAAGGTTGGGTTTTGTGTGGGATAATTCAATTTGAATGTAGTTTTCATCAAACAAGTCTAACATTAGATGGGAGACCAATGAAAATCAGGCAAAACACTAGATAGTGTTTTCGTCCCAGTTCGTAGGCTTCTTCAGATACATAAATATCATGATGTACGGTACATTAATTGTATTCTGACTGGGTAATGTATAATGGGTTCATAAACTTCTAAGTTTGATAGTCAATGGAATTATAGCTATGTACAGTTGAATATTCCTAAAAAAGGATGAGACAACTAGTTCTAAGTAAATCTCCCGATAGCTGTCGGTCTGTGACAAAAACTATCTACAAACTGTAATTCGTCACAATAAGAAATCAGTGAAATATTTACTACCTTAATTAGAATAAAATTAAATTAACATATATCGAATAAAACCTGATCTATTCTTATCAAAACTGATTGTTTCTATGCATGTTTGCAATAGAAAATACATACACACAAAAAGATAAATCACAATGAAGAACCCTACAATTTACATTTTAGATGAATGTCGATGAAATTAGGAATACAAACATGAACATCCAAAAGCCAATGATGGATATTTAAAAACAGGAGATAACCTGCATACGAAAGCTGAATCCCGTTAATGGGACGAAATTAAGTTTAAAAAAAGGACTTGTTGACTAAGGTCAAGACCACTACTGAAATCTAAAAGCATTAAATGGAGTCATAATGAGAAATCGTGAAAAGTGAAATTCGACCACGTCAAGTACAAGATAGTTATCCATCTCGAGCCGTGTATGAGGGCACTTTAATGTCGTGAATCGACAGAAATTAAGCATCAACACCGGTGGATACCAACTCAGTGAGATAGAGGTTAGGCGCTCGGGTGCATGGTCGGAAAACATGGGTCTGATTCTCGGATCCAGGGTCATGAATGAGCACTAACGAAGAGTCCCCGTATCAGGATGAAAGGCAGTCTGTTGCATCCCGATCTATATAAGATCAACTTGTGTTTTAAACCATCATAATTTTACAATCTCCACAAAATTCTGTACTTATTAAATATGTATTGTAAAATGCTGAACATAAAATTTAAGACGGTTATAATAATTTCTATCCAATTGAAACATATTTAAAAGCTTATCGTTGATAGATAGTATCGTTTAATAAATTGATTTTCAACTACTCATTTATTGGTATATTTTGTTTATTCGTGTATTAATTTAAATCCAAATTAACTCACTAACTAGGTACTTGTATATGAGCAGTATGATGGCTAATGATACTAACTGGTTGTCCAAAAGTGAAGTTGGTGGACCGGTATTCAAACCTGAGACTTAGTGGCTAAAAGTCGAATGCATGAACCACTAAGCCACCGCATCACCACCACATCAGCGTAATACGCTAAGATGGATGAAGACGGAAAAGCGAAACTGGAAATTTTTATGTTCAATTCAATTAATATTCGAATAAAGGTATCAGAGACAAAGATCGGACAACTGCATACAATACAGTTGTCAATGGCTCACACTTTTACTTTTCTTCAAAAATTAGTAACCTTGAGAAAAACAATGCAAAAACGTCTAAGTGAGTACTGCATATCAAAACTAAGCTAATCACCAAAACACACTGCCAAAATCACTCTGAATTAGACTCCAGGATCACTACTTCACTGATATGAAGTTGAAGAAACCGACTGACTAGCGCTAGCTTATGAAAAGGAATATATACATATATATTCTCCAGAATCATAACTATCGTCTTCACATGAAAAAGGTAGCTGATAGATCTGATAAAATGTTAACAAATGAATCGATATTGATAAATAGAAGCACCAGGTAGCATATGAATAATTTAGTTTTCATTTCCATAATACTTGAATTACACGGAGCTAAACAAGCATACATACCAACTTTAAGCAACAAAATATTAGCAAGTTATATGATGGTCTAAAGTTTTTTTAGAAACCAGGTCACATGGTTGAAAAATTAACATTTGAGTTCTACAATTGTGTTACAGCTTATCAATGCGTTAATTACTATAGATGAAACGGATACGCCTATGCACAAAATTGTGTGCAAATATACATATATTTATAGGATTTTTATCAAAAACCATCTGATAGAGTGGGTTTATTTAACAAGCCAACCTGTTTACTCATATAGATAGTAAATTGCACGTACATGTGACGATTTAAATTGTTTCGTTTTATAAGCGAAAGAATTTCAGTGAAAATTTATTATCGCCAACTTTAAAAGTGATCTATAGTCAGTGAATAACATGTCGTTAAACCATAAAAATGGCATGAATAGTTGCAAGTTTTTAAAGCAAACTTTTCGATATTGATCAATTACAATAGAGAAATACGAAGTATTAATGAGGGGATGTCGTGGAGATTACCTTAATTTAAAAGTAGTGCTCGTCAAAGGCTGAACTCAGTCGGAACACATTAGAAAGAGGGAGGGGTACATTAACAGCTATTTTATTCCATTATAGTATTCCTCAAAAGTGTGCACCTATAGACCCCAGGAACTGATCGGACTAATGGCCTTCAAGTTTTGCAACAAGTCTTTAACTACAGAGAGAGAAGTATCAGTAAAGAAATATATGAGTGAACTGTGGAATAAGTAATTCAATAGTCACACTTTTTACCTATATTCTCCTATTCTACCTAGAATTAAACATTAATTTGGAAAGTGGGGAGTAATACGTAAAATAGACTCAAACAACTTTACTCAATGCTTGTTCTCCATCCTATCATGTTACATTCAAGTTTACATATTTTCAAAGGGACAGGCCAAAAACAGATGCATCAATATGATTGATAATTTACCAAGGAATTCATTGTGTTACATGGTCCCTAGGATTTCATGTGAATAAAGATGAAAAAGTGTATGCCAAATAACATCCATCCAGAGATCAAGCACATAAAACTCATAGGCTATAATATTAGGTTGCAGTTTCGAATTTCACCATACCTATTTCAATTAGAACAGTCCCGGCCGTTACTGCTACCTTGATTTGGTGTTTGAGCATGCCTATCGTAATGAACCAATCGAGCTCCGCTGACCAGGACAATTGTTCGTCAAGGTCCTACCATGCCAGACAGGTAGGTTGAAGAGCGGTAAAACTAAAAGCAACAAACCCAAGGTCCGAGGGCGAAGTCGTACTGCTGACTGTACAGAGGTGTGACAGCAGTAAGGTGTTCCCTTCAGACAAACAGCATA